CGGGAGGACGGATAAGCGGAATAACTAGGTAGCTAGCTAGATAGCTAGCCACCTAGGCGGCGGAAATCTGCCTGCCTAGGCAGAGATAGCTGCCAGGATGGCGACCAAACCGGCAGTTAGAATGCTGGGAACGACAGCATCTGCAGAGCTGGTTACAATAGGGTCCTTCAGATCTTCTTCCGTCATATCTTTTATTTTAGTTTCTCGTGCAATAAGTTCCTTGAAGTACGCCTCGCTGCAAGGATGAAGAACAAACAGACAAGTAATGATTTAAGCGCCAACGACTACACCAACTGGAGATGTATTCTTTTACTCCGTCTGTCATTACTTAAGAATCATCTAAAACTGCAAATTCAAAAGACCAAACTTACCTAAAGGCGGCCTCGTCCACTGTTGCTGCAGGAGTCAATTCACAGAAAAGCACAGACGTTGTTGGTTGGTCTGGGTCTGACTTGGCGTGCACAGGAACTTCAACTTTTTTGACGCAGTTTCCAATGACGCAGCCGATTTTGGTGCTGCTGGCGCCGAGAAGGTGCAACACACTGTGAACCTTTTGCTTCCCCCATTTCTCCTGCCATGCCGATGTGCCTGACGGATATGTTTTTCTGTAAATTAGAACCAATCAGCACAACACAACACAAATGTATTGATTTGGAGGTAGACAAGGTGGAGGTGGCGACGGTAGCATGGTAGATTTGGTATGTACCATCGCTCTCGATTTGGTATGCTAAGAAAGGAGGTGGAAGCTGCCTGTAGCGTAGATGAATATCGAATCTCCTTACCCGAATTCTTCAAGTCCGGCATTGAGAGCCTCCTGCACTAGTTCAGGATAGTTTGGAGTTGTTGTGTAGGCGAAACTGTGATGAAAGACCTTCTTCTGTAGAACCACAAGGTGAACGAAGCGACAAGACAGCTTCCTTATGTACAGCTTGAATACCTGCCTAGTTTCTGTCTGACAACGGTGTCTATAGTTTATATATGCTGCGGATGCTGCCACAACAGTACATGCATCAGAATCAGGAAAGGTAGTCTTTTGTAGTTTCTGCGCTCACAAGTTTATCGCCTATCAGTGTCTCGCACGTCGCCGCCTGGGCTGTCTGTTCGGTTGCTACTTTTGCCTGCAGGGTGGAGACAAGGTCGGTGTCCTTTTCAACTGTGCTGGTACGGACTGAAATTTTTCCATTACGGGCCAAGTTTGTCGTTAAGTAGAGTTCTGTAGCCAACAAGTACGGACAGGAAAATCAACGTGCAATGAGGCGACCTCCGCCTGTCGCAGCCGACTAGTCGACGGCTTGACAGAAAACAAGATGGGAAAAAGCACCAGGAATATGAGAATCATAAGCCGCAATAGGCTTACCATCCTTAACTTCTACTACCTCAAATTTGTACTCGGTTGCGCCGGCCGCCACGGAGTGGAGCCCAAAGAGCCCGACGAGGCAAAATGCTGTTGCGGTCTTGTAGAAGGGAGCCATTGCGACGGAAGGCAAAAAAAAAATTAAAAAAGTGCTCTCGACAAGAGAAATATAAATATTCAAATTGAAGGGAGCGGAAAAGACGGCAAGCAGTTCGGAGTTCTTTGCGTGGTCCTGCAGTCGCGTGAACGGCGAATGGCAAAAAAGCGGGACAGCAAAGCCAAAATTGCAAATAAAGGCTGAAATTAAATAAATTAATATTGAGCAACAATAAAACAAATAGAAATTGTTGTGCATGACTTATCCTCTGAAATAAACCATTTAGTTTAAACAAATGCAAAAAACAAGCAACACCAGAGTCGCGGCAGGTCGGCAAGCGCGGCAGGTCGAGGTCGTAAGAGGAGAGATCTCTGTGGGTTGTTGCTTTCGCCTTTGTTTCGGGTTCCGTCTGCCTTCTCATACCACTCAACGGTTATAAGCCAATTAAACAAATCATTTTACTTCCAATTAAATCTATATCCATCTCCAAAAACGCCTTTTACGAGGGGATACAGCGGGAAGCCCCCCCTCTGCCTCCTGCTCATTGCGGGAGGTGCTGTGGCACCCTTCTGGTGCTCTACGACTGGGCTTTTTTGCGCTTTGAAGGCCTTCATGTGCCCTTTATCCGTGGATCGTGTTGTGGCTTAGTGCCACATGCAGACAAGGCAAGCAGCG